CTGTAAAAAATCAATAAAATATATTTAAAAATAAAAAATAAATAAAATAAATAAAGGGTCACGGCATTAGAAAGGTTGAGAACCACTGGTAATGGTTAACAGCATGGGCTATGGAGTGAGGCAGCCTAGATCTGAATCCCAGCCACTCACTTCCTAAAGAGTGACCTTGGGCATATGACTTCACTGCCTCAGTTTCTACATCTGCGAAATGGGATGCTATGTGATAAGTGGGATAAAGTGAGCCCTCGCCGGCTTGGCTTAGAGGATAGAGCATCGGCCTGTGGACTGAAGGGTCCCGAGTCCGATTCTGATCAAGGGCACATGCCCGAGTTTTGGGCTCGATCCCCAGTAGGGGGCATACAGGAGGCAGCCAGTCAATGTTTCCCTCTCATCATTGATGTTTCTAGCTCTCTCTCCCTCTCCCTTCCTCTCCGAAATCAATAAAAATATATTTTAAAAATAAAAGTAATGGGATAAAGTGAAAGTAACTGCTCAGTATAAGTGCTAACCTAATTCCCTGATCCTCACAAAAGACACCAGGGTAGAAATAAGAATTCACCTGATAGTTTCAGAGGAGGTCAAGGAAGACTGCACCTTGTTTTGGACGGAGTCTGAAGTTTAGAGGCCGAAGGAGGCGTCACTGGCAGTGCTTGGCCCAGCCTGGCTAATGGCCCTGCTGGCCTGGGAGCCTCCGGGCAGGTCCCAGGTCTTACGCATCTGTTTCCCCAGTTCCTGGGGCAGGGCTGGACACGTGGTAGATAATGCTACTAATTTCACTGAATGAGGAATGAATGAATGAATGAATGAATGAATGAACGAACGAACGAACGGTGTCCAGAAAAGGCATCGCTTCTCTTTGGGGTCCTCCAGCCCTTGCCCCCCTCCTCCAGCACTATCCCCACCACGTGGTAGGTGTGAATACTCAGTTACAATCGTTTTTGGAGTTCCCCAATTCTCCCATTTCATCTTTGTCATTGCCACTCTCACCTGCCCCACTCCTCAGCACCATCCCTGTACTTTTCACCGAAGTCCCCTTTGCACATCGAGAGAGAGTGTGAAAGGGAGAAAGGAGAGAAGTGAAGAGAGAGGGGAAGAGAGACACACAGACCGACACTGACTCTACTTGCTACTTGCCTGAATTTTGTTAACTGCAAGTGAGCACTTGGAGAACTACAGCAGGCTCGGGAAAGCCTGTGTGCATGTGCGTCTGTGCATGTGTGTTTAATCACGTGCACACACGCACACACATGGCTTGGCCTGCTGAGAACCTGGAGCGCGGTGCCGCGTCGCGTGCCCCTCTTAAATGGGCCATGCGGTATCAGTGCCACCACTTTCCCCAGACACAGCTTTTCCTCTGAGTCCCGCCTCCTCCACTCCCCCCTCCTCCTGCCCCAATTCCTTCTGTCTGGGAAGGAAATGCTAACCACCCCCTCCTCTTCCCCCCAAGATATGTCTGTGTGAAAGGGGAATGAACAAGCACCACTAAGAGAACACGGGAGAGAAGAAACTGACAGGAGCTCATAAAGATGCCTGGCTCCTGCCCCTTCCCCACCGCCTGGGAAACAGCCCTGATGCCCTGGGAGTTCCCATGGTGAGGGCAGACCACCCTGAGACCAGAGGGGTAGGGCGCGAGGTTGAGGAGGGAGGCGTGAAAGCAGTTTTGTTCCAGTTCACGCTTCTCTCTGGCAAGGAGCCCGTGCCTGTGGCGGTGATGAGCAGCCGGGGCCCAGAACCCGTTGCCCTTCCAGAAGGACACGGCTCTGCCCGGCCAGCGGGAGCTTCGCAGTCCCCAGAGCATGACTCGCGGCGGCCTCTCCCTAGAAAGTTGTGTGGTGCTTATTTGACAGTGAAAAACAATCTCATTTTAAAAGATTGGTTTCCTTTCGTCCAGAGGCCACCTGTACCCAGATTAGCTCGGCGCCCAGCATTTCAGAGATGCATTGGGTCCAACCATATGAAGTTGCCGTTTCTGTGGGTCAGAAGCCCTTAAATATCAGCAATTTCCTGTGGTTCAACCGAATAAATACACCATTGATTTTAATTCCGAAACGAAGGTTGGTCTGTGTGTGCGCAGTAAAACACCTCGTCAGAACAGAAAGGAGAAAAGCGTGGACTTGACAGACAGAAAATCTGGATTTGAGTAGGAGCATCGCCGTTGTAAGAGCTGTGAGTTCCTTAACTTTTTAGGGCCTCAGTTCTCTTACCTGTAATCCCTTCTTCACAAGGTAGAGAAAGACATGGAAAAATGGATGAGAAAATGCTTTCCACTGGCAAGTCTCCACATAGCTGGGAGGTCCTGTATGTGTGTGTGTTTATATATATGTGTACACGTACAATTAAAAAAAAAAAAAAGAGGGAGAGGGAGAGAGAGAAACATCGATGTGAAAGAGAAACATGGTCGATTGCTTCCAGTATACACCCAGACTGGATACCGAACCTGAAACCTGGGCATGTGCCCTGATCAGGAATCGAACCAGCGACCTCCTGGTGCACAGGATGACCCTCAACCAACTGAGCCACACCAACCAAGGCCAGTCTTTTATCTGAATAAATTCTGCCTGTATCTGCACAGAGGAAAATCAGAAAATGTGTCCCTTTGGCTCTAGATACATAATAGAAAAATGTTTGACACTTGTGTTCTCAGGACTGCCTGATTAAATGAGAGGTTTCGCCTTAAATCAAAGCCTGTCTTATTTTACATAAAAACACGTTGAGTTTCAAAAAGCTTGCAGTTTACACCCACGGATTAAACTCAGGAACTGTTTCAACAAAAGGTCTGGTTGCCACAATCCAGACTTCTCATTTTAAACACCGGAAGCATGGAGATGCACATAATTGAATAATTTATTAATTGCCTTTTGCTGAGGGCTCTAGGCCAGATTTCCATTTTTGAATATGCCAGATATTTGCTCACACTTTGCTCCATGTGATAGATGTTTTCCTTAAATGTTGGAGGCCTGAATTTTCACGAATTGAATCATATTGTCAAAGCACAAGGCAAGACTGTTGTCAAAATGTCACCAACAAATTCTGTGTCGTAAGGTTCACTTTATTAAGTAAAACTCCTATTGTAGGACAGATACTCCCTAATTTATCTGTGTCATGCTTTCCCGTCTCCTGTGTTGGTTTTTCTTGAAGTCATTAAACAAGAAACTGTTTCTGCCCGGGATATGGAACGGAAGCTCCCTGCCTGGGTGTCAGCCTCTGAGCTCCTAACCGGGTGGGTGAGCAAGGTGCCCAGGGTACCGGTGACTGCCTTGGGTGCCATTGCACCTACAGGGCTCTGGGAGAGAGTGAAATTAAAAGGTTTGTAATCCCCAGGGATCTACAGGCTTTTCAACATTTATCGCAGCAGGAGTGCTGGCTGTGTGTGTGTGAGATGGTTTTTCTTCTCTCCTGTTGTTTAACTGCACTCATTTTATTAGAGGGAATAATGGGTCGGGAAAATGAGGCAGCTGGTGGGAAGGGGTGGCTTTCTAGCTTAACCCCTCAGCTGCTGGGAGACTGGTCATTTATATGACATTTGCTCAGCTTTGAGGGAAACTGAGGCAGCCAGCAGGGACAGACAGACAGAACATGGCCCCGGCCCAGAAGTGTG